AGAAACGAAAATATATAACCACTTTTGCCATTAAAAACGAAACTGAACTATTTGAATGGCTACAACAGCAGCTGTGTAATTGGGGAAGAGAGAAAGAGACGGGCTCCAGTCGGACTCGGCCAGTAATTCTGATAATCTGTCGGATAAGGGCCGGACTAGGGCATATGTTTGAGGCCCGTGCAGGGTTCTGCTGAGCTTATTTGGTAGCAAACTCAATACTCATATACGCACAAGCGCACTTCGGATGTGACTGCGCACCGCCTCTGGAGTGCGCGAGCACCGAATGGCTTAAAAAGACGTGCAAATAAATAATCAAATTTTCTGACGATGCAACAATGACCCAATTAGGCAAGTGACTATTCTGTCAACTGTCACGAAACGTGAGTGAAAGTCTTGTATCACAGCGTGCAGCGGCTCTTGTAGCACAGACAAGATGCGCCGATGTGAAGCCGTTTGAAGAGAAAGTCAAAGAGAGAAGACTCGTACAGCTGAATCACTCACGCTGTTTTCAAATGACTGATTTGATCAGTCTGTGTGGACTGGACTCCGTCTGTAGGTTTGATTATTTACTCATCAAACCTACATGCTATAGGCTATTGAATAAATGTGTGAATATCCATCATTTTAAAGTCAAAAGCTGCGGGAATGAGTAAAACTATGCAATATATCCTATGCACAAACCCGCACCGAAATTCAGGACCTGATTAAACACAATTCTATTATACAGAGTTTTGTGAAATAGAATTCAATGACTTTTCCAAAACTTTCTGGGTTTATTTATTTTTCCAAAACTTTTCCAGGCCTGGAAATTGGTGTTTTAAAATTCCATGACTTTTCCAGGTTTTTCATGACCGTACGAACCCTGTAGATAAATTTGACTATATATATACACTTTTTTTTTTTAAATCTAGATAAACTAGTCACTGGTAACTGACTAGTTGGATGTTGGACGATTGTGACCCATCCCTATTAGCTGTAAAATCTCTTTAATGTTTGGTCCTTAACACCATACATTAAAATATTATTTGTCTTTAGTTTTCTTTTGTCTCTTGTCAGAGTTAAATGTTCTGGGTTTGAGTGTGCTTATATAACGTAGGCTTCTACAAGAACTTTTGTGAAAACACATTTCCCTATTACCTTACTGTAAACATTTATAGTCTTAGCAGTTGACCAATGTAACGGTTTATGAGCTCTATATTATAGAGTGGTTTTAGTATAAGTGTGGCCTTTGCCTTTTACATACACTGATTAAATCTCACCATCTGACTGCTTCCTTTACTTGTTGAATTCACTTTTAAATGTTATTTTAACTATGGGATAAAATTAGAGGGACATATTTACAATTTGGATAAGCCTGCATGTCAGTACACACACACACTCTTCCAAGCACGTTTTTTTTCTTCTCAATTTTTAACTTGATTATCAAGATGCCCAAACATCTGTATGTTTATATGCAGTCAGAGTCTTCCTAAAGACACTTTCAAGGCTGATTATCATCACTGATCATGACTGTCAGTATTATCAATGCTTGGGTCTCTGAGGGTTACAAAATTCACATGCAGTGTACTTCACAATTGATCACTCAATAAATTGGACTGCAACTTTTACACCATTTCTCTTGTTTTCCTTCACAGGTGCTGCGGTTTTTCTGTGACAGCTGCGGCGTGCCAATCTGTAGAGAGTGCAGCTTGGGCAGACACGCGGGTCACAGTTTCACCTACCTGCAGGAAGCACTGCAGGACTCCAGAGCGCTGACCATCCAGCTGCTCGCAGATGCACAGCAGGGCAGACAGACTGTACAGGTTGGTGAACAACTACAATCTCTCATACACAAACACCTGCTGGGTATTTTAAAGGGGTAATATGATGCTGCTAAAAATAACATTATTTGGTGTATTTGGTGTAATGAAATGTGTTTATGCGGTTTAAAGTAAAAAAAAAAAAAAACACATTTTCCACATACTGTACATTATTGTTTCTCCTCTATGCCCCGCCTTTTTGAAACGCGTAGATTTTTACAAAGCTCATCGGTCTGAAAAAAACGAGGTGTGCTGTGATTGGCCAGCTATCCAGTGTGTTGTGCTTGGCCGAATACCCCAAGCGTGAGACGGAAATGTTACGCCCCTCACATACTGTTGATGCCGTGTCCGGCCGGAGCGACGAGACATAAACATTAAAACCTATTACAAACGAGGCATTTGTTGCATCCAATGGGGTCATAATTACTAATTATAATGACTTATACTGTCTTATACTGCGTTGCATTGCATCGCGCCGTGTAAACATAAAACTCAGTCTGCATTTGTGATCAGAGAAATGACAAACAACAAGTGCTACTCTACACTGCTCAAAACTCGCGTTTGAATCATCAGTGGCAAATCCTTTAAATGAAAACGTACTTACAGTCTGTGAGTCAGAACTGCCGGCATTGTAGTCTTAACGTTACTCTCCCAGGATCAGTAAACAGTCCTCCATAAAATGTGCTGCACACATCTGGATATTTGGGTTAAACTGTTCTGGAACAGTGTTGTAATAAATACAACTTAACCACTGATTTGTAGTCGTGTCCTCTTTTGGAAGACCAAACAAAGTAGTTTCGCTTTCACAACGAACAACACAGCGGCCTAGCGTGTACTGAGGCCGGGATAGAGTGAGCTGAGGCGGCGAGGTTGAGAACGGTGTGCCCGGAGGATCCGACGAATGAGCGGCAACCACATGTGATGACCCCGGTGGCTGACTCTGAACTTTTATAAAGAATTTCTCTTTGGATTTGAGACTTTAGTCTTTGCAACTTTACAGATCTTCTTTATGCACCAAGAGCTTGTAACACTCCAAAGAGAAAGGAAAAATTGAAATCGCATCATATGACCCCTTTAACAGATATTTCTTTATTTATCCTTCCTGCTGATTTACTTGGACCACAGAGTGTTTTACCAGATGCAACAAGACTTGTACTTGCTTTATTTTTCTTATTCTGAATATCAAAATTAATAAATAAGGGCAATAAATAGATTACCATAGTATTCATTGGTTGTTGTTTACTGTGGTGTCCTTTCGGTCCACTGTCATTGTCAATGCTTCAGTGTCATGTTGAGCTGTTGTTTTTGGTACAATACACTGATAAATTTGTGGTCTTTTTTTTTTTTTCCCCAAAGATGAAACTTTAGTCAAGCAACGAGGCATTAAATTGATTAAAAGTGACAAAGACTCTTAGATTGTCACTCTTACTGTCAAATAAATGCTGTTCTATTGAACACTGTTTTCACAAAAGAGCAACTGTTTTCAACACTTGATAGTTGGTAATAATTATATAAGGAATAATAATTCAATATAATTGATAATGCGTAATATTTCTTGAGCACCAAAGTAAGCATATTAGAATGAATTCTGAAGGATCATGTGAGTAATTGCTGCTGAACATTCTGTTTGCATCACAGAAATACATTTTTGTATTAAACAAACATAAATAACATTAAATAATCCCTAACCCAAACGTTTGAACTGTATTGTATGCCATTTAATATTCTTATGAGAGAAATGACAAAACAGTCCTAGGCTTCAGTAGCTCTTTATCTACTATAGATTCTTAAAGGAATATTCCGGATCAATACAACTTAAAGGGTTAGTTCACCCAAAAATAAAAATTAGGCTGCGTTTTACTCACCCCCGATGCATCCTAGGTGTATATGACTTTCTTCTTTCAGACGAAAGAAGTCTGAAATGGTCTTTTCAGATCAAAGACAATTTTTAACATAACTCCGACTGGATTCGTCTGAAAGAAGACAGTCATATACACCTAGGATGCATCGGGGGTGAGTAAAACACAGCCTAATTTTCATTTTTGGGTGAACTAACCCTTTAAGCTCTTTTGACAGCATCTGTGGCATGCTCAGATTTTTTTCCACCCTTTACAGCAATGCATTTACATTACCAAAAGGAGCAAGTGTACATCATCAAAATAAATGTAAAAAATATACAAGTACTTAACAAAAGTATAGCCAAATAAATAAACATGAAATGTAATTCAGTAGTTCCATACCTAAATAAAAATTGGGTAAATTTACTGTCCAATAAACTTGTTTTTAAATGGAACTCATTTAAATGAATTAATAGTAGGGCTGTAACGATTCACTCAACTCACGATTCGATTCACGATTTTGATTTCACGATTCAATTTTCTCACGATTTTTTTTACAAAATGAGATTGAAGACATTATACAGTAAGTAAATTAAAAGGTGTCATTTTATTAGGCTATTGCTGCACGTTTCTTTGTGAAATTTAAATATAACAAAACTAAATTGAAATTTTAAAACAAACCCCAAATCAAACAAGTTACACAAATAAAAGAAATCTCTTAATATGAACAAACTAAGGCTTTGTCTGTGCTCTTTCCATTTCAAATTAAGAGACAACCACTGCATTTTACTCATGTTCCAAACAAAGATGCAGCATACATGCAGCATGAGTAGTTTTTAATCTAAAGCAAAAACGGAATGTTCTGACTTTAGTTTTAACTATACTACATAAAACATATCTGAACGAAACGGCAGACGAGCAGTATTCATGAACAGCAATGATAGTGTTTCCTGGGTTACCGCTGTTTATATACACTACTTTAATATGCATTGTTCAGAGGCAAGATGAAAAGAAAATACCACATAAACTTTTCTAAAGACAGTCAGTGCCCCTCAGAGATACATTCATATAAACTCCTACTCCACTTGTATGGCGATTTGTTTGGCATCTCAACCGATTTGAATCGTCACATATTTGAAACGATTTTCAACCGGCTCGCGGTTAATCGTTACATCCCTAATTAATAGTAATAGTTATTATTTCTGCTTTTAAAAATTCCAGTGAAGTTGCCTTCTAGATATCCATTGTAAAATGATTTACGTTAATCTTTAATATTTTTTTTTTTTTAGTTTAAATTATTTCCACATTTAATTTCAATGATATTGGTCACTATTTTGTTACTGTGTGATTTTTGATACACATAAACATACTTGCAACTAAATAACTGTGAGTGAGTATCCTTGTCTTTGCTTTGTGGAAGTAAAGGGATTTTAAAAAGGGGGCTGTAGAGTCAACCTGACTTTCCATTAGCATCACTGTGCGTGGCACCCCCACTCAGCCTGAATGAAGAGAATAGAAGAGAGGGAGGGGCACAGGCCCAGTGCTCGGTTACAGCCTCTATTCAGCGTTCTGATGGCCCTAGCAGGGCGGATCATTAGTCTCACACAGAGGAAATATTTCTGTCACTCTTCAAAGAGGCACGAGGTGAGGGGTGGGGGGAGAGAACAGCACCCATTAGGGCTGTTCAAATCCATCCCTCTCTAGTGACATGGAGTCCGTTGGCAAGGAAACCCAAAAGTGAATTTGAAAGTGAAATGCAGAAGAGGTTTCAGTTAAAGGAAGGCACTAAAGAGTATGAATTCCAATGGAATTTTATACCACTCAGCTTTTCACATGTGCTGGTTACATTTAAATACACCCCCAACTTGCAACATTAAATTTTTTAAATTTTGTACCAGTTTATACAAAATATTACCCATTTTAGGTTCTTTAAGGTATAAATGGGGCAGTTGTAAAACGTCCCCCATGCCCTTTGATAATCTCATACCACTCCATATTTAGCGTCTGTGCTTGGACTATTAGCATGCTAACTAGGGTTGAAAATTTTCCGGAAACTTTCCAAAAAAATCCTGGAAAGTTTCCAAAATTTCTGGAATATTTCCGAAATTTACCACCTTTTTGCAATCCTAATGCTAACATACTGCTCTTTTTTTCTAAAAGTATGCACAACAAAGCACGGTACACAGAATACTGTATCCCACTATGCAATGTGCTCAACTTTCAATTTTCAGTGTAACACATGACCTGGACTCAAAAATCACAGCTTATATAATTACATCATATTGAGCACAAAATATATTTTGAAGAATGTTGGTAGCCAAATCATTTTGGTGACCCTTGACCACCATTATATGGGAAAAAAACAACAACACACTTCTCAAAATATATATTTTATGTTCCAAAGAAAAAAATAAATGGGTATGTTGAATAAATGATGACAGAATTTTTTTCTAGGTGAACTATGCCTTTAATTATGACTTGTGCCGTCAATGTAGCATCATTGTTTCCCCTGCCATTATATTAGAGGGGCGGCCCGCCCCCCTAACATCACCCCCCCCGAAGATTTTTTTTAATTAGATTTTCTCCATAGTGCCAGATCACAACAGAAGTCATTTAAAGATACCTTTCCGATAGAACAGGTCCATATACCTTGTTCTTTTATTAAGCAAATTAAATAGCCTTAATGTTATTTATCTTATTTACACAATGGCATGTCATTTTGGTCTCTACGTTATGGTCGCACTCTCTGTATCACGCACAGTGGTGTTCCGCCACACATACACGCGCTCACACACACACGCGCGCTCACACACACACGTGCACGCATACACAAGTGAGCACACTCCCACTAGTATTTGTAAATATTAAGCCGCAAAACGACTATTTAACTATGAATTCTGCGTTTCTCTATGTTAATGTTGAATAAATGATGACAGAAAAAATTTTTCTAGGTGAACTATGCCTTTAATTATGACTTGTGCCGTCAATGTAGCATCATTGTTTCCCCTGCCATTATATTAGAGGGGCGGCCCGCCCCCCCTAACATCACCCCCCCCGAAGATTTTTTTTAATTAGATTTTCTCTATAGTGCCAGATCACAACAGAAGTCATTTAAAGATACCTTTCCGATAGAACAGGTCCATATACCTTGTTCTTTTATTAAGCAAATTAAATAGCCTTAATGTTATTTATCTTATTTACACAATGGCATGTCATTTTGGTCTCTACGTTATGGTCGCACTCTCTGTATCACGCACAGTGGTGTTCCGCCACACATACACGCGCTCACACACACACGCGCGCTCACACACACACGTGCACGCATACACAAGTGAGCACACTCCCACTAGTATTTGTAAATATTAAGCCGCAAAACGACTATTTAACTATGAATTCTGCGTTTCTCTATGTTAATGAATGGCGCAGACGTGCGGTTTAGTTTACCACTTGTACTGAAGCGTGCGTGAGGCTTGCGGTGATATTAACCTCTGCCGTCTTACTAATGAAGACATGAATACATGAACAACATCTCCAGAACTGCTCTGAGAGTCACTTCATCAGCATTTGACTATTGGTCTTATGAAGTATTCTAATTTGTTGAGATGATTACTGAAATGAACTTTTCCATGACATTCTAATTTGAGATGCACCTGTACACACAGAAATTTAAAGGTATTTCACGGCAACCCGTCAAAATAAAAGTTTGGTTTAACTTGAAGACATTGGCAGAAATATATTACTATTGTTGAGTAGAATGTACGTAATAGGCTGCAACTACTACTACTAAAATGATTAAAACCTTATTTTTAAGGAATAATCATACAATATTTCTTCAGTGTTTTAATTGTAATATTAAATGACCTTTATTTTCCAAAAAATAAAATTTGTTTAATTTTCATTACTTAAAAGATAGATTCAATGAATGTTATGCCTTAATGTAAATGCACAACAGAATTTCTGAGCAAAAATCATAAGGCTATTGTAAGAATAAATGAAACTTGCTTTTATGCTTTTAAATAATTAGACATGCTAAAACAGAATTTAGTAACAATAAAACATAAGGTTGGAAAAAATAAAACATTTCATAGGACCCTAAACATGTAATTTTTGTTAAACTTTTAATAAATAGATGTTAAATTCTTTAAGTTTCATGATTTTAATTAATTAGACATGCCTTTTGATTAATACAATTTAATTTAACCATTAAAAGGAGTCCAGAAAGAATAATAAAAAAAACGGAATCCCCCCCCCTCAAAGCTGTAAACCTAGGGGAAACACTGAGCACAGTACTGTTTTTCCATTGCAGTATACAATAGTAGTGTATTTAAGTATTGAGCTAGTATTATATTCTAAATATAGTCCATGCATTTACATGGCAATTATGTAAACCTGTCCAGTCCTAAATCTTCATCAGGCTCAGCTACATAGCATCATCTGAAAGAGCCTGACCTGTGTTTTGCGCTTGATTGGCTGCTTGTTCTAGTGTGTCTCTAATCCTGTTGCTGGATGGTGTAAATGGGAAGCCTCTAAATGTTTAGAGGTTCGAAAGCGCATGCAGGGTTTTAACAATGGCTTCAGCCCGGGGCCGTAATCTCTATTCTGGAAGCACGCTGCCCATGAAGGGCACGCTCCATAACCAACCCCTGACAGCCCAGTCTTCCTTAGCGCTGCATAATCCTATTTGCTGGATTTTAGCCTGCAGTTTTGCAGCTGCTTATTCCATTCACCCCATTCCTGTTTCTGACTTGATTGGTTTGCACCTTTGTGATTGACAGCTCAATCTTAGAATGGGGATAATATTTTAGCCAGAGGACATTTGTAAATCTAAAAGGGGAATAGAACCTTAACAGTGCAAAGTATTAAGCAAATATATATTGTATAAACTACATTTATACAATAGATTTTTAACCAGTGGGAAAGAAATGGTACAATTTTGAAAAATAATTGGCTACACCACAAGTACATATACTAACAAAAAGTACCCATTTAAGGGACTCTATATAGTTTTTAAATATTTAGACCAGACAATATAATGTAATATAATGCAGCAGCATTTATTTAAATATTTTGCCACAAAGAGATTTTAGCACAGGGACTCAAATTAATTGGTGATTTATTAATAATTGCTCAGGGCAAAGTTACATTTGTGAATGAAAATCCTGGAAAATTGGATTGTTGATCGATTTTGCATTGTTGTAAGTGCATTTGTTTAAAGTTTATATTTATGCTAAAGATTATGTTTATGCTATAGGTTGTAGAGTTCCGGACCCTTTGAACCTTAAATTTGGCTCCGGTTGGGTAATATGCTCCACACTAAATGACATGTTTTCCACACCTTTTTTTCTCTTAATGGATAAACCCCTTGACCCGGGTCATGAGACCAACAAGTCCTTTATTTCCTCTCATTGTGTGATTTATCATCCATAATCTTTGAAATGTGACGTGTATGTGGACCCCGATGAGAGGGCACAGCTGAGTTTTGAGCTTTCAGGATCACTCAAATAGATTAAAGTGGAAACCCTGAAACCCTGAATTTCATTTAGATGTATATTACGATTCTGGTATGTTACATTTGTGGGGAGTTTAGATGTCAAATGACATGCATAGGTAGGGCTGTGTACAAATCACTGTTTAAGCAAATGTTAGCGGTCATTGTCCCCAAGGTAGACCTTTTATCCCCCTTTTGTATAACATCACAAAGGAATCCCTCATGCTTTCTTGGATCCTTGCAAATTAAGATATATTAGCGGTTTCGTTTGGTGGAGAGGTTCTATTTATTTATTAGTATTTAGACTTGCTGTTATTTATTAATTTTTTTTTAGCTGAGGGATAAAGAAATTAGTGCAAGAAATTCTACTATACTTATACTATAAAATATACTTTCTTATATAGTTCCTCATAGCTTTTGTCTCTGTGTGCTTTGACGAAAACTGGTAAAGGTATTTCAGAAGTTGTGAGCAACTAATAGCTAATTACCTGAAGATATTTAATGAATTCCCAAATGATCGCAAAGTTTTTGGTTCTCTTGCTATTGTTTAAATTGTTGCAGATTTTTATTTGTTTTTGCAGTAAAGTTCAGTCACAGTCTGTGGCTCTGTAGCTGTTCATAGAAGCAGCGATATTACACTTTCAGCAATTTTTTTTGTGCAGTCATAATATGTCTGGGGTTTCCCCCCCTAACTTTTAAGTGAGTTCAGATGTCCTCACAAATGTGCATGTGTCTAAGCCCTTTCATAAAATTTTCTTTCAGCTGAGCATCGAGAAAACCAAGGCCATTGCTGAACAAGTGGAACTGAAGGCTAAGGTTGTGCAGTCAGAAGTGAAAACCATCACTCTTCGTCATAAGAAAGCTCTGGAGGAACGCGAGTGTGAGCTGCTCTGGAAGGTGAATGAATAAACAAACATTAATTCATGGAGTAGCAACTACCTTTTTGTCTGTCTGCATATTTTAGCAGTGTTTTATAAAGTATCCAATTATCATACTTCAGTAAAAGTACAGATACCTTTATGGAAATTGACAAGTAAAAGTTAAAAGTTGCCCATAAAAAACACTTAAGTAAAAGTATAATAGTAACTGATAATAAAACTACTTAAGTAAATTTTATAAATAATGGCACAGCTGATTGTATCAGTGGCAACCTAATTGAGGGTCTAAAAATCTATTATAATAATATATAGTTATTTCTGTCATGACAGCTCTCGGACGGATTGGCATGGTAATGTACATGACAATGTTAATGTATTTGGTCTTGGCGGAATAGATCTGCTACGCAGCTGCTGCGGCAGAGCAAGTACCGAGACTTGCTACTGCCAATACATCCACAACATGCTGCTGTGAGCATGTAAGAAATATTGCTGCTGCAAATATAACATGCATGAAATAACTCCCATATAGCATACATGAATCACCTCGGAGCAGATCTATACAGGTGGAGCTGGGGAAGGTGGAGGGTTTCTGAAGCAAGCTGCAACTGCTACGGCAAGAACTAGTCATATATTTGAATGCTGAGCAGCGAGCTCATTGGCTACCGATACAGGAGAGAACCAATCAGCTGTGCCATGTGATAATGATGTCATTAGGTCAGATTGAGTTAGACTTATCGGACTGCGCCATCTAGAGTTTCATGCCAGAACTCTGTATATGCATAGGATATATGAGTTAAAGGGATTGTTCACAAAAAAATTATGCTCGATGGTCAAAGGTGTTCAGTAGAGATGCACTGATATTGATTTTTCATGGCCGATTCCAACTGCCAGTTTTTTTACAAGCAAATGAGCCAGTTGTGATATGATTGCCAATTTTTTTTTATTATATTTGTTTTGTTTTAAGCAAGATAATTAAGAAAGAATTACAATGAGTAAATGAACAAGATGTTTTTCTGTTTTACAGGCAGAACTATCTGTAGCAATTGGAAATTAGAGGCAACCACTGTATTTTAATCGTGATCCATGTAGCACGCGCACTTTCTGATTTAAATTAGGCTGTATAATTTCAAAATCTGAATCAAAAATAAAAAAAAAATGGTCTGACTTTGGCTTTGTGGAATTATGCTACATAAAACATTTCTGCACAAAACAAAAACAGAAGAAAGGCTGAATGAGAATGCAAATGCACTCTCTGACAACAGGTGGCGCTTATGGAACAGCAGTAATACAGCGTTTCCTTGGTTACTGCTGTAAACAAAGCAGCGCTGCACTACTTTGTGCTTTAGATATGCATTATACAGAGGCAAGATGAAAAGAAAATGCCATCTGAACTTTCTGAAGACAGTCAGTTTCCCTCAAAGATACATTCATATAAACCCCATTCCGAATTCAATATTTAGATTTTCTTCCAATATTTTGTGCATCGTGAACAGTAAGTTTGCTCTGCCTGCTGCAGTTTTTTCTGTCTTTCGTCCATCTTCAGAATCCCTGGCCTCTGTTAATATCCTGTTTACAGACTTTGTACTATTTCCACACAAATTACATTTTGGAAAATGAATGCAATGCAGTTTATTTGCAAGTCTAGAGTTTGGCCGAAATAAAGCAATAACTGTCCATTTCCGATTTATGGCCTTTGCATCTCTAATGTCCATCTAACATATGTTTACATAGAAAAACAAGCTTTTCATCTTTTTGGTCACTATTTGTTTTCATTATTCAAATTATACAAACCATTTACACCTCTTCACGAACCAGATTGACAAATTGAAAGCAACAGAATTGGATCAAAAGATTCATTCACAAACAGGATATCGCTATGACCGATCAGCAAAGATTGCTTTGTTTTTTTGCATTTTTGCAAATGTAACGATAGGGTCAGGAGAAATGTATCTTGAGTAAAAGTATAATTTTTTTCCTTTTAATATGTAGTAAAGTAAAAGTCAGCAAAAATATTTATACTCGAGTAAAGTACAGATACCCAAAAACTGTCCTTAAGTACCGTAACAAAGTAATTGCACTTCATTACTATACATCACTATATTTGTAACATCAGGAACCATTTTTGTTTCCTGCACAGGTGGAGAAGATTCGCCAGGTGAAGGCAAAATCCCTTTACCTGCAGGTTGAGAAACTTCACCAGAATCTCACCAAGCTGGATAGTACTATCGCCACAGTGACACAGGTTCTAGAAGAGGGCCGTAGCATAGATGTCCTGCTAGCACGAGAGCACATGCTAAATCAGCTACAGGAGCTTAAATCCCTCCGCTGCATCCTACAGCCCCAAGAAGATGATCGCATCATGTTCACCCCTCCAGACCAGGCTCTTCTGATTGCCATCAAGTCCATGGGCCTCATCAGCAGCGGAGCCTTCGCCACAGCTTCCAAAGCTCATGGTGAAGGCCTCAAGAGAGCACTGCAAGGAAAGCTAGCTTCCTTTACCGTCGTAGGGTATGATCATGACGGTGAGCCTCGCTTGTCCGGTGGTGACAGCGTCTCAGTTGTGCTTATGAGTCCGGATGGTAATCTGTCCAGTGCAGATGTTTCCGACCACCAAGATGGAACGTACACAGTCAGCTATCTGCCCAAGAGCGAGGGTGAGTATTTGCTCTCGGTGCTTATATGCAATCAGCACATTGAGGGAAGTCCTTTCAAAGTGATGGTCAAATCCGGTCGCAGTTACGGCGGCGTAGGCCTGCCCATTGCATCTTTTGGAGGAGAGGGCGATGGGGACGGGCAGCTGTGTCGGCCTTGGGGCATCTGCGTGGATAAGGAGGGCTATGTGGTGGTCGCTGACCGAAGCAACAACCGTGTGCAGATCTTCAAGCCTTGTGGCACGTTCCACCACAAGTTTGGCACTTTGGGCTCACGACCGGGCCAGTTTGACCGCCCTGCTGGGGTCGCCTGTGACAGCCAGAGGAGAATCATTGTGGCAGATAAGGACAATCACCGCATCCAGATCTTTACCTTTGATGGCCAGTTTCTTCTCAGATTTGGTGAGAAGGGAACCAAAAATGGGCAGTTCAACTACCCATGGGATGTGGCCGTCAACTCTGAAGGGAAGATCCTGGTTTCGGATACACGCAACCACCGTGTGCAACTCTTTGGACCTGACGGGACTTTCCTTAACAAATACGGATTCGAAGGTGCCCTCTGGAAACATTTTGACTCTCCTCGCGGCGTGGCCTTCAATCAGGAAGGCCACCTCGTTGTGACCGACTTCAACAATCATCGGCTGCTTGTCATCAGGCCCGACTGCCAGTCAGCACGCTTCCTCGGGTCTGAGGGAACCGGAAATGGCCAGTTCTTGCGGCCTCAAGGTGTAGCAGTGGACCAGGAGGATCGTATTATCGTGGCCGATTCCCGCAACCATCGCATTCAGGTGTTCGAACCCAACGGCAACTATTTATGCAAGTTTGGGACACACGGTAATGGCTTCGGGCAAATGGATCGTCCCTCGGGTATAGCGGTTACCCCAGATGGAATGATTGTGGCTGTGGACTTTGGAAACAACCGAATCCTCATGTTCTGACCTTTTAAGGTTTGAAATACAAAACTGTAACTGTGGACAAATGGAAAATGAGATTTTGCACATCTATCAGGAGCAAATGTAGTTTTATTTAGAAAGTTGACAACAGTTGTAGGGACTTTATAGTTTTGTATGATTCTCAGTGATCGTGTAACACCAAATGCTTGCTGTTACAGCACACCGTTTTGACTGCTAAAGGCTGAGAGTGTTTTGCTCTTGGTATGTGTCTTCAAATCTTTTTTTTTTTCCTTTCATTTTTTTTTCTCAGGGAATTTCTTGCATTCTTGAAATATTTTCTCTCTGCATTACACCTACCTCATCTAGCTTATGTATGAATGTACTCACATTTGTGCAGAGTCCGTGAAGTTTTATAAAGAAGCGTCTACCTCAGTGTTTTTTTTTTCTTCTTCTTCGTAGAATGAGAACAAAAAAAAAAAAAAAGAACTAAACGAAATGAAACAATGTTTGGGTATTTGCACAGTTCGCACAATTTTTTTTCCTGATTGTTACTGTGCACAAAAGTTATATCCCTGAATGTTTCTCATAACGATTGATAAATACAAAGCTGCATGTTTTGGCAGAAACATTAGGAGAATGTTTTGATATATCTACTGCTGTTTTCTTTTTTCTTTTTTGTGTACATTTTAAATCAGACTTTCTTTATCTCATACCTCATCTAAACCTTTTACCTCATTTACCTTATTATACCTCTGGGTCCATGATTCTCATTACACATTTACCTCACTTTATGGTCTTTTCCATTTGAAAATTATGCAAGCAGTTACCAAAAATGAATATGTTGTATAACTGATGAAAAGGACTTCTAAACTAGACCAATGATCTGAATTTAGTAATTTAATAGGACCCTCATTATGTAATCAAGACTATGAGAAATGCAACTGCAGAAGAACAGATACCCATGATTATTTTAAATGTGTATTATACCTCTGGGTCCATGAGTCTCATTACACATTTACCTCACTTTATGGTCTTTTCCATTTGAAAATTATGCAAGCAGTTACCAAAAATGAATATGTTGTATAACTGATGAAAAGGACTTCTAAAATTTAGTAATTTAATAGGACCCTCATTATGTAATCAAGACTATGAGAAATGCAACTGCAGAAGAACAGATACCCATGATTATTTTAAATGTGTTATGATAAAAGAGTAAAATGGAGGGTGTTCTTTAAAGAAGATCTTCAGATCTGTTTTATTTTTGGGGAGGGACAAATTGAAAATGTAGACAAGTGTATATCTAAAATGACCTAGCCCTTATCTTTGTGTTTCTATAGTTTTGTTTTTTGTTTTTCATATGCATGATTTAGGCAAGGTTAACATGATCGACACAACTGGCAAACAAGGATATAATCCAGTTCCTCTCAAGACTAAGGATTTTTTTTTAATATAGTGTTCTTTCAAGATAGGATGTATATTGAGGCCAGGTTCATAAGAGTCTCATTACAAACAGCTGCATCAGATCACAAGTTGTTTTTTGTTGTTCTATTGATAACAGCATGGCCTACAGTGCTTCCTGTGCCCATTTAAGAAAGATCTCCAGGGAGACCATTCACTCGGTCAGTGTAACGTCATTTGAAAACACTTAGAATCAATTGAGCCCAGTTTGAAATTGGATAGTTTGTGGGTAACCACTTTAAAGGTTTTTTTTTTTTTGCTTCTATGTTCAATTGATTAAAAGAAAGAAGAAGAAAAAAGAGGAAGCAAAGCATTTGGGGAAAATAATAAATAATATATAATTATAAAGCACTGGTGTACAGCAGAACAAAAGCACATGCTCTCCCATTATAGTCTGCCTGAACTTCTTATGGAAGTTCTTTTATGACCAACAGGAAAGTGTAACTCACCAAAGTTGTGTCATAACTCAAAATATGAATTTTGCAAAGAGGCAACGAGACTCACTAATCACTAAAATGAGAGTTTTTCCTTTCTGGTATTAAGTGGCCCATGGGAATTTGTATGCTCCTGTTCTTGCAAGCATCATGTGTGTGTTTTTGGATATTTTGAAAAGCTTTATACCAACTTCTTTCTGAATGTGTGTGGTACCGGCTTGTTCGTACATGTGTGGCAGGCCCACTTACAGAACCAACTGTATATGTTTGTAATACTAACCTTTGGGGTTACTTTGCATGATGCTTTCTGTTTTACCCTTTAGGTAACATTTGAAACCAGAAAATTGTGGGAGTGCTGGACCATATGTTGAAAAGTGATGTTTTCCCCGCCGTTTTCTTATTGGCTGCAGTTATCTTGTGTCCTATCATGAGTATTGACGTGCTTGCATGTAGTTACCTGTGCCTTTCGTGATGCTAGATAAATTGGAATTGAATGTCTTTGCCAAAGGGTGACTATAGGAAATAGGCATGTGCCAAAAATGATTCTGAAAGTCACGGGTGCATTGAGCTTTTGCTTTTAATTTATAAAGTGGATCTTTCTCAGTTGTTTTTCTTTATGTATATTACCTCATTATAAACAAAATATTGACTTAAAATTGTGAATCATCAGGCATATTTATGTTGGAGAGATGTTCATTGAGATAATGTTGCGTTTTACGCTTGGTAAGAGTGGGAAGTAGGCAGTTAGATTTATGAAAATTGATAGACATCTGCACATTAGATGATAATAGACAAAAAAAAAAAGGACCAGCATGGGTAACGGAAGCCCGTTTAATAAGGAGCTTATGCAATACAAAAATGAAAGATTTGCTGCTTCCACCAACAGCGATCTTCCCTGTCTTACAGTATTAATATCAGATTTGATTTGATTTGATTAATATTTAGCCACAAAGTTTTTTTTCTTTTTCCCTGAATCCCTGCTCTCTTTAAGAGGGAACTTTAAATGTATATTTTTGCATGCTGTAAAGGTCCTTGTAGACGGGTGGATGTAAAATATAGATGTTGGAAAACAAGGGGAGGGAGGAAGAAAAAATGTATAATGTACCAAAAAAAAAAAAAACCGCGAATATCGTTTGTTAGCTTGTGGTGAGTGGTTGAATATATGATTGTACTATTTCTAGATAGCTTTACAGAGTAAGGTACCTCGCTGAGCTCCATTCAGATGCCTTACCACAGCTCCTTAACGCTAGCTTTTGGAATCAAATCAGAACTGAAAAACTGCCAAAGACCTCGTTCGAATGAAACTCAGTGTGTGGATGTATTTATAAATCGATTTTTCATGTTTGCCCGAAGATTTATACGTTTGGCATCGATCATTCTTGTGTTTCAACAAGCTGTCGATATCTTGGTGAAACACTCGTAGAACACGTCCCTGGACGATGGCTTCTGTGTGTAACACGAGTTTCTGAGCAGGTGCTCTACAGGACCAAAGATGGAGAAAAGTCTGAATCTAGCTCCCAATGAAAGCTGATCTCCAACTGTGTGGTGGTAGAGTTTTATTTGACGAAGTTGTGACGAATCAGGAGAGACCAGTACAGATAAAGCCACTATATAAAACCCCTTTAGCGGTGATTTGGACTATATTAAAAGTGTAAGTTCTACTTTGAGAGACGATTCTTTTTGTTAATTTTTTTTTTAGGACTGATACTTTGTCATCTAGATATTATCTGGCTAAATGGACATGAAAGTCAGTGTTATCAAACTCGGTCTGTCTTTGAATTTCAGATCATTGCAATTTTTTTTTTCTTTCTTTCTTTCGTTGGACCTCCGGTCTCTAATTGTACGGGTTTTGTCACCATTTCTGGTGTATTCCAGCTTATGACTTCTTACTGGAGAAAAACAGAAAATGTAAGTTCAGAATTGTGTGGTCTTTATGATTGTATTATCTTATGGGGAAAAAAAGAGATGTGTATACACATTAAAACAACTCAGGTAGCTTTGTAGAGATTTGATTAAAATTCAATATTTGTTTCCTACAGTTTGATAGTGAATCCTTTGTTAGTACCTCATGAGCTTTTGTGTTGTTTTGTTGGTAGAAATGCTGTTATTGAATTGCATAGGTTCCTATTCAACCATGTCACAGTAAACGGTCAGTGGGGGGGGGGGGGGGGGAAATAATTCATATCTTTTACACCAGCATGTCTCAGTTTTGCATTCTTCCCAAAGTCCGAACTTGATTTGATTAATTTAAACCATGTAACTAAAGGAATCGTTTACCTCTTTGATTGATGGATGGATATGAAAAATGTGTTTGCATTCAAAGGCTGTTACAAAATGTAAAAAAAGCTTGAAAAATAGGGTTTCAAGAAATTTGAGGCCAACGGTCTGTCTCTAAATTAGAATTATAGTGATAATAGACATTTAGACTTTTGATATTTACATCAGGCTTGGCTGTAAGAGAGGCTAAGCAAAGAGGTGTGGGGAGATTCTGATCTGGAATCGGGTTTGCCTTTTAAAGTAAAATGATTGTCCTTTCAGGTGGATGATATTGGTTTAGGAGCCCTCCAAGAGGCCCACCATTCTTTCCATCTCTTTTTGTTTCATATCCCACCATCGATCACCCCCCCAACCAAAGCAACAGAACGGTCATTTATTACTCTCTGAATAAGGCTGATGAGGCTATATGAAATACATAGTGGTCTGCAGTCTTGTTCTTTTGTCTTTGTGGACTTTAAACATTTCCTATGCAGTTTTTATTTTATTTTTTATGTTTGGTTGTTTATGATTTGAATAAAGTTATACCTCTTTGGATCCCGTATCTGTGCTGAGTGTTTTTACTTTACCAAAGAATTAGTTCCAACTGAAAACTTTCAATATAATTCTAAAAACGTCTCCCTTTAGGTCAGGGGTTCAAATCTTTTTGCTGTAAATGTACTGATTTTTGTAAAGTAATGTTAAGAGTAACTTCTATTGTTAGTATGTTTCAAGATGAACACTTACTGATCTGAAGCAGCTTATGTTTACTTGATTATCCATATATCCGTATTGTATTATGTGTGTTTTTTTTGCAAGTAGCCTGCTAGACTGTTCTATAGATATCACTGATCAACATGACAAACTATCAGAATTTCATCTTTCTTTTTGGTCATAAATATTAGCAACTGCATCAAATTGCAAATAATATTAATAAAAAAAAGGTATCATTCCAATTCTAATGAAGCGTATGTATTCTTCATGGGTAGGCCTATACCAGAATGCTTTGGGACGAGATGGTTGACAAGATGAGAAAAACATACAAATACTTTTCAGTATATAATCAATTTATAAATCTAAGTTCATTTGAATACAAATATTGTCTCGCACATTCACAGGAAACACTTCTGTGTTGAAATGTAAGGTGGATATTGTTTGAGAATATTCTGATGCTGCCGGGGGAGTCGGGTTTAGACCGTGTTGGGGGTAACGCATTACAAGTACTCACTCGCGTGAGTTACGTAATCGGATTACTTTTTTTCAAGTAACTAGTAAAGTAACGCATTACTTTTTTAGTTTACAAGAAAATATCGGAGTTACTTTTTCAAAAAAGTAACGGCAGTTACTTTGTTTTCCCATTTATTGACCAAGTCTCCTGTCCCCATGTTGGGAGAAATCGGAAGTGCAGAGTTGTGTGAACATGTTTCTGTAGTTCTAGACTAAATGTGAATGTGCATTAAATCATCCCACTCACAAAAAACAGATTTAGTATTCATCAAAATGAACTAAAACCGTGAAACGCAAACTCAGAATATGACGCAAACCTGCAACAATTAAATGTTAACAAATGTATCTAATCCCATTTTATTAACCAATGTCTTTGCTGCTGACCTTTGATCCAGTTCAACCATACTAAGCAAAAATTGCATTGAAGCACAATTGTTAGTTTATCTATTGTTTATTTTTATTGCTGAAGAGTGTTGAACCTTCTTCTCCTGCGTTCTACTGTACAGACGTGAATTTACTTTTGCTTCAGCCTGAGGTTTATTCAGTACACTTTTTGATGTGAAAGGGCTTTTACATTTGAACCTCTTATATTAAAGACAATCAAGCTCTGCTCATATTTAAAAAGTAATGTGAAAGTAACGCAAAAGTAATGTAACGCATTACTTTCCATAAAAAGTAACTAAGCAACGTAATTAGTTACTTTTTTAGGGAGTAACGCAATATTGTAATGCATTACTTTTAAAAGTAACTTTCCTCAACACTGGGTTTAGAGCAGGGGCCACCAGACTCAGTCCTGGAGGGCCGGTGTCCTGCAGAGTTTAGCTCCAACTTGCTCAACACACCTGCCGTGAACTTTCACGTATACCTAGCAAGACCTTGATTAGCTAGTTCAGGTGTGTTTGATTGGGGTTGGAGCTAAACACTGCAGGACACCGGCCCTCCAGTAAACAAGTTTGGTGATCCCTGGTTTAGAGTATGTAATACATGACACACTATCCTCTCAAAATAAGACAACAAAAATAGCAAGAATTTTAGACCATCCCAGAATCTTTGAAGTCTGCAGAAGACTTCTCTTTTCTCTGATAAGTGCTTAAAGACACGGTTATGGTAACTGCTCCTTAAATCACTCGGGGAAATATTTGTCATCCTGTTTAAAGAGTACTATCACAAGGAGTCTTTGTTTTGTCTAAATTACTTAACAAAAGCCTTTATGGCCACAAATGCTGTTTGAGCAATGGGCGTCCCTGCATACCAACAGGTCGAAGGTCAGAGAGGGGCGGGGTGCAGCCCAGAAGGTCAGCTTGAGCCTGCAGGAAAATGTTTGTTGTCTGGCAGATGGGACAGACCCGGGTGTAAATATTGATAAGACAGGGTTCAATTGGAATGGAATGTTTGAAAATGGAATGAGAATGAAAAAAAAATAATATTTTGGTTGTTTGTCAGTCCATTCCAGTTGTATACCATATGTATGATCCAGTCTAGTATTTGTTTGATTTCTCTAACATTCTGGCAGCCTTTGTGTAAAATAGTTTAAAACGACTTTAACAAATTCACTTATTTTTCTTTATATATATATATATATATATATATATGTATATATATATATATATATAAATAAATCTGCAATATGACATTTCATATGAAAATGTCTTATATTGCTACTGCTTGAATCATCTAATCGCAAAGAACAAAGACTCTGCTAATGGATATAGATACTTTTAGGGGTAATCACACTTGGGTTCACTCTTTACTAGAACTAACTAACACTACAAATTACAATACAAATATTTTAGTGCTGTCAAACAATAAATCGCGATTAATCGCATTCAAAATAAACGTTTTTGTTTATATGTGTGTGCACTGTGTATATTTATTATATATAAATACACAAACATACATTTTAAAAATATTTACATATATATATATATATATAATTTATATTATATATAAATATTTTATATATAAACAAAACATATTTTTCTTAAATATATACAATGCTGTAAACGGTCCACAAAAATGTTGGCAAGTATGCAAAATGTAAAAAAAATGTACCCAATGCACAAACTCGGCGCATGCAGAGATGAAACCCGTGAGCAGCACTCAAACCACAGTATTATACTAAGTTGTACGTGTGTAAATGAACAAGTGCCACTCTTTTATTCTGAAAAGGCACAATGGACTTAATACAGACTATACTGTATAAATTGTAGCCTTTGATTTGATAATCACAAATTGAAAGATACATCACTCATAGCAATTCTTAACTCGTTGACGTTTTGGCAAATTGATTGCAAATTTTTATGTTTTCATAATTATACAAACTTTATACACATTATACAAATTCATATATTACCACCTTGTAAATAGTTACAATTTCCCATGAGATGAGGTTTAAGAGTTTCAGTTTGATTTTGATTTGAACTGTGCAACTTTAAGAAACCCAGGCCTAGGGCACCAGTGTATTTTAGGGCAGCAGGGGTTGCCACACCCACAGCTCAGATGCATGCTTCACATCTTTATCATTCATCCTCAGCCGCTCCAAGGGGTCGCCTACCTACAAAATCCCAATTTAACCTTAATGCATGAAAAAGCATGGCTATGAATAAAAACACTTGCTCAGAAACCAACAGCTGACGTCTGAAATTTGCCTAATAGACAAAATATTATTTTACAATATTTGTGTGTGTGTGTGTGAGACAGGCCTCTTGGGGAACAAGAGCTGCATTTGGCACTAGTGTCAGATGGCTGAAAAAATAATCTCATAAAGGCTTAAAAAAAAGAGCTCTTTTTCTCCAAGGCATCACTGACAGCACGTCAGACCGGTGCAACAATGGGGAGAGATGTGGGTGGAAAGAGAGTGGGTGTGGGGGCAGAGAGATTTAGCATAAGAAAGACCCAGCATGAGAAAGGTGATGGGCCACCCTCAGGAAAAAGGGCAAAAAAAAAAAAAAAGAAAGACCACACATGAAAGAAAGCCGACATCTGTCCACCCACGCCAGAGACGAGCCTTCACAAATCAGGACATTTATTTGAGTCTTATGCATTAGAGAAGGAATCAAGTTATACAATTGAGATGTTAAAAAGCTACATTTTAAGGATTTTTTTGCCACAAATGATGTCAGACAAGTGTCCATGATTTTACGCAAATTAGATCTTAACAGTGACCTTTGGTCCATTGATTTTTGACAACCACATGATCTCTCTCATCACAATATAAGGGCTACATGCAGATTCTCAATCTTATTTTCCAGAAATAACTTATTCATAATCTGTATAATTTCATATATGGCAGTATGTCACTGACCGCATAAATGTCACACCACTAATAAGTGTAAATAAAATTTATTTATAATTTCATAGACCCCAAAACACAGACATATTTCTAACAGACTGCGACAGACAACCGTTTCTTGCTTGTCCCCCCCCCATCCATCCTGAGTTGCTGCAGCCTCATAAATAAAATAAAAAAATGTGTTTGTGCATGTTTTTGAGGGTTTGTGTAAGTGGAATCACTTGCGCTGTACTTGTGTAAAGGAGGAGGGGGTCTGTATGGGCTGTACAGGCTGGGATGACTGGAAGGGAAGTGGTTTCTTACGGAGGTCCGGGGAGGAGGCGGGCTTGACAGATGGGAGGAGCTGGTTCCGTTTGATGATCTGTAGCGCCAGCTGTGTGTTTCCTGTGGAAGCAACAATCACAGTTTTAAATGATTACTCAAAAAAAATTATAAATCGATCTGAAGTGACAAATAATTCCAGGTAAGAAAAGGTGACTGGCCACCCTCTGGAAGTACAGCGACATTTCCCAGCAGGCACTGTGTAATTACAATCTCTGTATGTGACTCACCGTTCTGCAGCTCTAGGTAGACGCCTAGTAAAATGGCTTCTGGAGGAATCTCCTTAGTGTTCACCATTGAAGCAGCCTACGTACAGAGATATCAGAAACAAATGGTTTGAAGACTGTTTAAACAGTGTATGCATCTAGTGTCCAGAGAGGATCATGTGTTTTTAAATGCATGGAAATAAAAAATTGACAGCTTAACATGAGAGGAGTGTTTACCTGATGGAGGCACTTGCGGGCTTTCTCGTACTCGCTCCTCAAGCAATACGCACTGCCCAGGTTGAAGAGCATTGTGGCCCGGGCAGAACTTACTGAGCTAGGGTAACATAAAGGCGTCTGCTTCCCTGCTGCAACACAAACCAAAATTAAAGAAATACATAATAAATAAGACTACATATTGTCTGACCCAACTCATCTCTGGTCTAATTGTGGACAATTAATCAGGGCATGTTATGTGTGTATATATATATATATATATATATATATATATATAC